TGGCCACCCTTCAGGATATTTTTCTTCTTCTCGAGGTTTACGGCAGGGATATCCCCTTTCTCCTTTGTTGTTTGCTTTATGCTCTGAAGGTTTTACAGCAATGATAAAGCAGGCTATTCATTCTCATGAGCTCCATGATGTACGGATGGGACCTTAGTGTCCGTTAGTCTCATTTATTATTTGCTGATGACTCATTCCTTTTTCTATGAGCTTCTGTTCGTGATTGTGATCGTATTTTGGGTCTTCTTCGTGATTACCAAGAAGTTAGTGGGCAGCGGGTTAATTTACACAAGTCCGTCGTTTGTTTCAGTCCAAACCTCAGTCAATCGGGCCAAGAGGAGCTTGGGGCTTTCTTAGGAGTGGGCTCATTTGGCTTGCAAGATCGTTATTTAGGCCTTCCTTCATTGCTGGGGCGTTCGAAATTGGAGACTTTTCGTTTCGTCGAGGGAAAACTAATTACTGTGCTCCAAGGGTGGAAAAATCATTCTCTTTCCGCTGCACCCAAGGAGGTGCTTTTGAAATCAGTGGCGGCGGCACTTCCAATCTACATCATGTCTTGTTTTAAGCTGCCTAGAGATTTGATCAACAGGCTGAATGCTTTGATGGCAAGATTTTGCTGGGGAGATGTTCAGGGTCAACGACGTATTCATTGGCGAGCTTGGAAAGCCTTGTGCACATCTAAACAGGAAGGTGGTTTGGGTTTTCGCGAGTTTGGCTGCTTCAATCAGGCTCTTCTTGCCAAGGTTGCGTGGCGTGTGCTGAAGGATCCAATGAGTTTATTATCTAGGGTTTATATGGGTCGGTACTATAGGGATTCGGGTGATTTCCTGGGGGCGGGTTTGGGGAGTAATCCCTCTTGGGGGTGGAGGAGTGTCATCTTTGGTCGGGACTTATTACATGAGGGTATCAGGTGGCAGGTAGGCGATGGAGTCTCAATCCGTGCTTTCCAGGATCCTTGGGTGCCAGGTGACCCGCCGATCATTCCCACATCGGCTCCAGGTATCTCTAACCATGCTCTACTTGTTTCTAGTCTCATAGATCCTGGTAATAGAACTTGGAATTCGGCGGCTATTCAGCATTTTTTTTTGTTCAAATTTGGCTGCCCTTATTCAAGGAATTCCGCTGTCTCGGCATATTTTGAAAGATTCATTAATTTGGCCGTATGAATCCAGTGGGATTTTCTCTGTTAAATCTGCTTTTCATCTTGCCTTTCGACGCTGTCGTCTGATTCCTTCCAAACCTCGTATTGCGTTCATGGATCCTTCTTTTTGGAATTGGATTTGGGGAAGGAAAGTTCCGCCAAAATTACATTTCTTCTTATTGCAATGTGTTCACAAAATCTTCCCAACTCGTGAAGCTTTAGTAACGCGAGGGGTGGATATCATTCCCATTTGCCCGGTGTGTGGTAGGAAAGAAGAAACTATTGAGCATTTGTTTTTTCGTTGTCCGACTGCTCGAAGATTATGGAGGATGGTGGGTATGCATAGGTATCTTGGTCGTTGGGAAAAAAGATCCTTCATAGGCTTCATCAGGTACTCGTTGTTCAAGGAGAATGGTGAAGATTTGGACTACCTCTACCTGTAGGTAATTTGTTTGTTATAGATGATATGGAAAAATCGATGTAAAGTGGTTTTTGAGTACAAGCAGGTCCGTGTGGAAGAGCTTGCTGCACAATGGAGGCACCAAGTACAGGAGAATGAACAAGCCCTTTTGCAGGAACCCTGTACAGTAAATTCAGCGGCAACAATTCATTCCACTACTCCTCAAGTGCCGCCAAATGTGCTTTTTGTGGGATCTTTTGATGCAGGTACTCGACAGGGAGAGGTCGGTTCAGCAGCTTTTGTCATTCGACAGGGAGAGCTCTGGTGATATCATTGCTGCTAAAGCGACTCGTTATACTGCCTGCAGTGACCCATATGTTCTTGAAGTTCTAGCCTTACGTGATTGTCTGGTGCATTGTACTCAGGCTCAGCTTCGGAATATCCACATTCAAGGTGATGCTAAAATTATTCTTGACAAATGTCGTGCTGGAGACACCTGCGATTCCAAGATAGGGATTTTACTTAAGGAAATTGTATTGCTTCTTCAAGTTCTTTCCTCGGTATCCCTCCAATTTGTTGGAAGATTGAACAACAGAGTAGCTCATTCGGTAGCAAAACATGCTCTGGGTTTGTCGCCTCGTCTGTTAGTGAGGTTCGACTATGTTGCTTGGTTACGTAGTAGATAGGTTTCTTGTATCTGTGAACTTTGTTCGCCCTCTTTTTCAGAGGAATCTATTGGCCAAAAAGATTATTGGGTTTCGATTATAAATTTAAAACGATATAAAATTTATGAATTGATTTTTTATTGTGAATCTAAAAAAATAATTTTAAAAATTTTAATTCTTAATGCTAAAGGAATGAACCGATCACACGAGGGGAATACTTGTTTTCTTATTAGACATTTTTCAAACCTTATAACAGAACTCATTCTTTGTTGTATGTTTCATAAATAGAATAAAAGATGTAAGAGTTTTTTTTTTTACAACAAAGATGTAAGAGTTGTTGATGCCTAATTATTAGCATTATTAAATTTGTTGCTTTAACTTTTTCATTCTCAGCTTTCCAAGGAGAAAACGAATTCATTTTATCAATTAATTTGCTTGTACTAGCAAGACAGCAATGCTAAGTTAATTAAATAATCCAAATTGATTTTTTAAAATTTACCATAATAATTAAGTTCAAGCCACCAATAGTAGAAAAGGGGAAAATAAGTAAATCAATTATAAGGACTTTATACGATACTCAACTTTAGACTAAAACTTAACCGTTTCTCCAATGTAATTTAGTTTACTCTATTATTTGTTTATATATTTGGTTCTTCTAAAATTATTTTCATCTTCTACTCAATTAGTTTTCATCACCTATTCATGTGATTTTGGTTAATTGAGTAATTATCAATTGTTTTACTATTGGATTCTTTTGATTGATTCAATCTCTAGAATAATTGATTTTTAATTACATCTTTCTATTTAGATCATTAGAACAAGTGAGTTTTTAATTACATCTTTATATTTAGATCATTGTCACTCTTTATTTCAAGTCATATTATATTAATATTATTTTTTATCGATTAATATGTTGTTTATATTTTATTAGATTTTAAGGATAAACAATTTAGGCCATATTTGGTTTACAGTGTGGATAATAATTAACAACTTGACAATCATAGTGTAGTCACGAAAGTTGATATCTCTGTCTACACAAATTCGACCAATCTTCAAAATGACCAAACAAATGAATATGGAATTAGGACATACAACCTTTGTCAACTAAGTTTTTCTTGATTGAAGTAGATTATAATCAATTTGTTAATCAAAGTGTCATTTAATACTTTGCAATAACCCAATACGGTAGAAGACCGCAATTAAGTATCGAGTGTTGACAAGGACTGCAATTAATATTAGAAGTTATCGTAAAAAAATTAATATTAGAAGTAATAGTTCGATCCTCATTAGACTACTAAAGCCCACTGGGCTAAGTTATGATTTCGGTGGAAAGCACTGGTGGACTGCTATCGCGGTATGGACGACCTCCATCTTTGCTATAAGGTTTGGCTGTCATTGACGGGCTTACGGTAATAGGCCAGACCTGAATGCGGCCTTGTAGAATGGTGTCTCAAACGATCCATAGGAGTGGATCCCATCACTAGTTTTTTTTTTTTTTTTGAATAATATGTGATCACTAATTATTGAAAGGTTAGATAGCTATCCTTATTATTAAAGTTAACAAAAGTGCGACGTTCATTGGAAAACCGCTGAAAGTGGATCGAGCCACTGAATGTGGGGCGAGAGGGAAATTTGCTAGGGTATGTGTTGAGGTGGACCTCACAAAACCCCTACTATCTCAATACAAGATTGAAGGAATAGAATATCTGATACAATACAAAGGGCTAGAAAATATTTGTACGGAGTGTGGGACCTATGGGAAACAAACCAGCCAGTGTACGTGCCAACATATGAAGAATGATGGAATTAGAGCAAGTTAAAAAAGATGTCTCTCTCCTCTCTCTTTCTAACGGACGTTTCCTCTCAACTGCCTAATGGCTATTTTCCCGTCCCCGGTGCTGGGACTGATCCAGCTCACCCTGACCTGAGCTCCATTTACTTCCCTCAACCACCCAACAAAGATCACAAGGATCTACTGGAAAAGAAGGATGGAGGAAAGCTCGGCGCATTTACATCAAGAAAAGTCCAAATGGAGAGTGGTCATGACAGGAGAAGGCCTGCACAAAACAGAAAGAAAAAAGGGAGATGGAAACCACCTGGTTATTCGAAAGCAAGCTTCCATTGTCAGAGAAGGAAGAGGAGAGGGAGAAGGCGAAGGAACATAAGAGCTAAAGGAGGCTATCAAGGAATAGCCAGAAGCAATAAATTGAAGGGAGGCCTATACCTTGAGCCAATTGCAGCCGAGCTAGAGATGGGAGAGCAGAGCAGAGGAAGAAGCAGGCTGCAGGAGGTTGATGGAAGCAACGATTTGATGCAGAACCACCACCAACAAAAAGGAAGTTATTGCTACCTCACCAGAAAAGGTTATAAAGAGGAAGAGGAAGGAAGGAGAAGGGTACCTGGCTTCAAGAAATCCAGCATAACAGAGCATCCAACTAGAAACCCCCCTGCACTAAAACTCTTTAACCCAACTGATCTTTCTCGTTCCCCCCTGCAAAAAATCCCTGCAGAATTTCGTTCCCCCAGAAAAACCCTACAAAAAACACCAATAGCTCCCCTGTTCTAAATTTCATTAACCCAACTGAACCTTCTCGTTCCCCCCCCCCCCTGCAAACACCAAAAACTCCCCTGCAGTAAACTTCAATAACCCAACTCAACCTTCTCGTCCCCCCCTGTACACACCAAAAAATCCCCTGCACTTAACTTCAATAACCCAACTGAACCTTCTTGTCCCCCCCCCCCCCCTGCAAACAACAAAAATCAAAAGAACCAAGAAAGCCCCCACTCAAACACCATGGAGTCAGGAGGCAGCAAGGCCACAAGTGGAGCTAGAAATGGAAGTGGGAATTCCTTGACAGCCTCAAGAAGCAGAGGAGACCGCCCACTCCTCTCATCCACCGGAGGCAGAGGGATTTCAATGTTGCTGGGGAAATTGCTCACCGAAAACAGAGTGGCACTGGCAAAGGCAGCAGGGGCGGCTCGATACGCTTGGGGAGGCTATGGAGAGGTCAACGTTCAACCAACGGAGACACAGAATCTCTTCATCTTCACCTTCAACAACGAGGCAATTAGGGAGAAGATATGGAGGGACAGGCCATGGAGTCTATCTAACACTCTAACGGCAGTTGAAAAGTACAATGGAAGAGGGAAACCAGAAGAAGTTCCCATTGAGAAGGTTGCTATGTGGGTGCAGATCCATGGCATCCATCAAAATCAGAGGAGCGAGGAAAACATGGTGGCGATAGGGACTCACTATTTCCCAGGAATGCTCGATCTGGACAGAGCTAGCTTGGCTTTCACAGGGTACAGGAAGTTCCTAAGGATCCTGGTTGAGGTCGACATTGAGGAACCAGTACCTATTGGTTTCGATTTCCCATTCACTGATGAAAGAACGGGTGAAGATTACTGCGATGTTATCGAGTTCAAGTATGAGAGGCTGGTGGAGCTTTGTTATTTCTGTGGAAGAGTCGGCCATAATTGGCCGACTTGTTGGAGGATGAACGAAGAAAGGAGGAGGAATGGTGTAGCGTACCTGTCGGAGGTATACACCTCGGCTCTGAAGGCAGGCATAGACTCGCCCCACAGAATCCAATCCAGCAATTACAGAGGCAAGGAAGGGGAAGGGGCACAGAGCTGGTCGAAAAGAGGGGAGATGGCGACCTCGGGAAGTCGGAGTAGAATGGTAAGGGAAGAGGGAAGCGCTTCGACCGACTCGGAGGGCAGAATCTCGGAAGGGAATTGTCGAATTCCCCCAGGGTTTACAGTGAGAAGGCTGGAGCAGGAGGTCCTAGAAGAGGAGGAAAGAGGCTCGAGGGGAAGGTGGGGAGGGAGATACAGAGACTCGATGGGGGCGAACAACCTGATCTCGGAGATGAACAGAGCGGCGGCGGCGATGGAGGGTGGAATGCGACTGGAGGAAGAAAGGGCCGACCAGGAGGTGGAGAGGGCCGAACAGGAGGGGGTTTGGAGCCCAGTGAGAGTGGAGACAGCCTTGTCTCTTGGGCCTAGGCCCCGCCAGCCGAAAATTAAAGGCCAAAGCCCAACGCAAGCTGGATCAGAAGGTATTAGTGAATACCAACATATCCAAGATGGGAGGGAGGAGGAACTGGGCCGAAAGCAGAAAAAAAGAAAAGGAATGGGCCTGTTGTGCAGTCTCAGGCCCAGTGATGTGGTAAGGGAAGAGGAGGTGATTTTCGATGGGTCAACAGGAGGTTTTGAAGTGGGTGGGCCGGGGTCTGTTCCTTGAAGGAAGAATCTGAAGGTGAGGTCCGGGAAAAAGAGTATACCCATGGAGAATCAGTCAGAAAGCGAGCAAGAGGGCCGAGGGAAGAAGAAAAAGGCAGCGGTGGTTCGCCAGAAGCCACCTCTTCATAAATGAGTATGGTAAGTTGGAATTGTAGGGGTTTTGGCCCAACCCTTACAAGAAGTTATGCGAAACGTCTGTGTAGACGTTTAGGCCCTTCGATTGTTTTCCTCATGGAAACGAGCAAAAATGAGACATTCATGGAGGAACAAAGAAGAAGTCTCAGAATTTTCCCCAACAAAGAGTATGTCGAACCAGTTAACTCTTCTAGGGGCTTTGCACTTTGGTGGAAAGCGGGTATTAGTATTAATATTATTAGTAGTGATAGCTATTATATGGATTGTAGTATCGATATGGGTAGGAAGTTTTTCTGTACTTTTGTTCATGCACCCTCTACAGCGGTTAGTAGAAGGGAATTTTGGGAGCACCTGAGCTCTCTTCGGAGTAGTAGGGAGGATAACTGGGTGATTGTAGGAGATTTCAATGCTGCTATCTATGAAAGTGAGAAAGAAGGGAGATGCCCTCTTAGGTACGAGAATGTTGAACCGTTCAAAAGATTTATTTTCGACAATGCGCTTATTGATCTAGGCTTTAAAGGGGATCCGTTCACTTGGACCAATAAGCGGATAGGCGAAGATACAACCAGAGTCCGACTTGATCGAGTTTTGTGTTCGACGTCTTGGAGAGCCCTCTTCGGAGAGGCAGTGGTTTTCCACGAGAAGATGGTGGCATCGGATCATTGCCCTATCAGGCTGGAACTATGTTATAGAGGAAATAGGAGGAGAAAGACACCTTTCAGGGTAGACGAAAGATGGTTAGATAAGGAGGAATGCAAAGAGATAGTGGTCCGTGCTTGGGATCCAGGAGGGACATCGACAAACCAGTTGGCAAAATGCGAACGAGATCTTAAAGAGTGGTCGAAAGACTTCCATAGGAACATATTACAGAGAGAGGAGGATATTTTAGAACGTATGGATATTCTCCAACGTCCTCCAAGAACCCAGGAAAGAGTGGAGGAAGAAAAGAATCTCATCGAAGAACTATCCAAGATGTGGAGGGAGGAGGAGGAGTTCTGGAATCAGTGCTCAAGAGTAAACTGGTTACAGAAAAGAGACCGGAACAATTCCTTTTTCCATTCTAGCACGATCCATAGGAAGCATAAGAATAGAATCCTAAGGCTCAAGGATGAGGGAGGGGAGTGGGTGGAGAATGAAGATAGGCTTAAAGGGTTGGCTCAGGATTTCCACAAAGATCTCTTTAAAGCAAGAGACCCTATCCTTTTCTCTCACCTGCTGGATGGGTTCCCAGAAAAGGTTACGGATGAGATGAATACAGCTCTTTGTGCCCCAGTGACAGGAGATGAAATTAGGAAAGCGGTTTTCTCTTTGGGAGCAAAAAAGGCTCCAGGCCCGGATGGTTTCTCGGGTAGATTTTACCGAAGATTCTGGGATATTGTGGGAGATTCAGTGTGTAGAGAGGTAAAGGAGTTTTTTGAGACGGCAGATATGCCGAATGGATGGAATGATACACATATTGTTATGATTCCTAAAGTGGACCACCCAGAGGTGATTAGCCAGTTCCGACCTATCAGTTGCTGCAACTTTAGATACAAAATTATATCGAAGATTATGGCAAACCGCTTGAAGATTTGGACGCCTAATCTTGTCTCGGAGCTCCAAACTGCATTCACCGGAGGCCGGCTTATCCAAGACAACGTCATTATTGTCCACGAGGCACTACACCACTTCAAAAACCACAAGAGGGGAAGGAGAAGGGACATGATGCTCAAGTTGGACATGAAAAAGGCGTATGATATGGTGGATTGGGATTGTCTTGAAACTCTGCTGAAGAAGTATGGGTTTGATGTTAGATGGTGTAGATGGGTCAGCTCGTGCATCAGGACGGTCAACTTCTCCATCCTTTTCAATGGGGAAGCTACAGAGGAGTTCAAACCGTCAAGAGGAATCAGACAGGGAGACCCTCTCTCTCCTTTTCTTTTCATTCTTATGTCTAATGCTCTGACTTTCCTGATCGACAAAGCGGTTTCACAAAACTAGTTAAAGGGTATAAGGTTGAACGCGAGATGCCCGATTCTCACCCACTGTTTGTTTGCAGATGATACGGTGATCTTTGGTAAGGCTGATCTCCAAGAAGCAGAGAAAATTTTGGACCTTATCAGAGAGTATGGTACTATCACGGGTCAAGAAGTGAATATCAACAAATCATATGTTTTCTTCAGTGCGAATGTACCCGAGGGGGACAGAGATGCAATCATTGGTCACATCGGGTTTGCCTCATCGAACTGCCACTCCAAGTATTTAGGAGTACCGACGGAATGGGGAAATTCGAAGAAGGAAACTTTCCAATCCCTGATACAGAGAATGGAAAAGATGGGGGAGGCATGGAAAAGTCTCCTCCTCTCCCATGGAGGGAAAGAAGTGTTACTCAAAGCTGTCATTCAAGCTATCCCTTCCTACATCATGTACCTTTTTAACCTCCCGGTGAACCTGACAAAGAAGATGGATACACTGCTCACCAATTTCTTCTGGTCAGGGTCAATGCAGAAAAGCACTATGCACTGGTGCAGAAAGGAGATCCTATGTGCCCCAAAAACTGAGGGAGGATTGGGATTCAGAAGCTTCAAAGATTTTAACATGGCCTTGTTGGCCAAACAAGCATGGAGAATCCTAAACTCACCGGATGCCCTGTGGTGTCGACTCCTGAAGGGTCTGTATTTCCCGAGAGGGGGTTTCATGCAATCGAAAAAAGGAAGCAGATCGTCGTGGATATGGGCAAGTCTGTGGGAGGCAAAGAAGGTTATTAAAATGGGAGCTATCAGAGTTATTGGTTCTGGGGAGGACACTTGGAGTGGTCAAGACCTGTGGATTCCAAATCTTCAAAACTTTATCATTGGAAGCGGGCCCCAGCAAAACCTGAAGGTTAAAGAGTGGATTGACCCTGGGAGTAGGAACTGGAATATCGATATGCTTCAAGGCCATATGACGAGAGAGGAAGTGGAGGCGATTCTTAAAGTCCCTATTGGGGAGGAGGGTTCCGAGGATTTTTGGGCGTGGAGTCTCACCCGAGAGGGAGAGTTCTCGGTCAAGACAGCCTACCACGCTGTTCATAATGCCAATAACAGTTTCCAGGCGACGGGCAGTGAAGAGAAGTGGAAATGGATCTGGGGACTGAACATCCCACCAAAGCTAAAATTCTTCATCTGGAGGTGTTCCAGAAACGGGCTGGCAACGAGAGCAAGACTCTTCCAAAGGAGATGTGCTCCTAATCCAAACTGCCATGTGTGTCAAAACCCTAACGAATCCCTCAACCACTGCCTTTTCTACTGCCCTCATGCCAATGAGGCTTGGAATAGCACCTTCCCCTCAATTCCGTTCCCTCCTCAGGGCACCTCGTTCTTTGATTGGTTTTGCTCCCTCAAAGATACCATCCCTCAAAACTCCCTCATTCACATTATCTACCTTTGCTGGAATATTTGGAAGGCAAGAAATGAAAGCACTTTCAAGAATCGCGTTCCCTGGCCCCCTAACGTTTGTGTGCAAACCTATAGAGAGCTCACGGAATGGGTTGCTTGCCCGAGGCCCCCACCTCAAGGTTCTGATGGTCCCAATCAGCTCAGGGGATCCCACCCCACTACGAATCCACCGCCAAGTAATCACTCGAGAGTGATTCAATGTGATGGGTCGTTCTTTAGCGACCCCCAGTCGGCGGCATATGGTGTTGTTGTTGTTAACCACCATGGACAAGTGTGTGATGGGAGAGCTGAAAATCTTCTTTGTTCCACCCCGATTGAAGCGGAAGCTAAGGCACTTTTGGAAGGAATTAAATTAGCACAAGAATATGGATTAGTGTGTACAGTTCAATCTGACTGTCAGGTTCTGGTGAAGGCCTTGAATCTTAATCACTCACGATGGCCCTGGAGATGCGCAGCCTGGATTAGAACAATGGTTAATATCCTCAGGACTAACCCAGCAATTTCGGTGGAAGAGATTCCGAGGGCAATGAACGTCAGAGCTGATTGGGTTGCACGATCAAAAGCTAAATCTTCTCTACCAGAAGACTGGATTAATATTCTTGATCTAATTTCTGTTCTCCTCTAAAAAATGTAATAGCTAGTGCGTGGAAGTTGTTTACGGTGGAATAAAAGTCGATATGATTTGTCAAAAAAAAAATATGAAGAATGATGGAGAATCTGACACGGTGACTGCAGGTGGAGTAGGGCTGGTTATTTGGTCTCGGACTGTTTGGTTTTACCCGAAATCGGACCGTATAACCCGGACCGGGACCGGACTGGGACCGGATATCAAACAATGCAATCTCATATTCGAGCTTAGATTTGAGGTAAAAAACCGGATAAGAGACCGGATAAGAGACCCCCAACGCCTAAAATCAAGATGAAATTGGGACCGGACCGGGTCAAGATCGGACTATATCCAATCCAATCTTTGGTCCTTATATTCCCGAAAAGACCGGACTGAGACCGGATCAATTTGGTCCAATTTAACCGGACCGGACCGTATAGCCACTGGAGTATCACAAGCAGATGAAATTTCAAAGGGAAGGACTTATGGGGAGTGGATGATGGTGAAGAAGAAAGAGAGAAGACCGACTAGGTATATAGTGCCGTATGCTGGGAACGAGGTCTCCAGGAAGGAGGGGAAGGTAACAGGCAGCCAGAACCGATTTAATGCTCTGGATAGTGATAATGATCAAATTGAAAAAGGAAACGATGAGGGACAAGAGATCGGGGGGCAGCCTGAGCAGATGGCGGGGAAAGGGCTGGGGAAAATGGATGGTAAGACCCGAGACGGCCAGGAAGAATAAAAAACTAAAGGAGAGCTCCAATCAAAAGAATCTGACCAAGGATGATCCAGCTAAGAAACAAGGAAAGACTGGTCAGGGGACCCGGAAGATAAATGGTCAGACTAGCTAAGCCTTGATTACATCAGGAGATAAGGAGGGAGAGAAGGTGGTTGCAGGGGGAAAGAAGACTAAGACACTGGGGATGGGCCAGCAACAGGTTGCCCCACAGGCACGACAAAACAAAACACCGACAACTAAGCATGGTGTGGGGAGTTTATCCCCTTCGGGTCATAGATGAGGACATTTAGTTACAACTGTCCTGGGTTGGGGAATACACGAGTAGTTGGTGCTCTTAAGTCGTTGCTACGACAAACCACCCCGAGTTTGGTCTTTCTTTCCGAGACCAAACAGATAGAGGAATATAATGAGGAATTTCGAAAAAAGTTGGGCTACGATAAGGGTGATGCTTGGTCAACTAACCAAGAAGGAGGAGGGAGAGCAGGGGGAGTGGCTTTGTGGTGGAAGGAAGAAGTTTTAGTCCAAGTGATGTCCTCCTCCCTTCACCACATTGATGCAAAAGTGATAGAGAAAGATGGGGTTGTCTGGCGCTTTACGGGGGTGTATGGATGGTCGAAAAATGAAGACAAACACAATATGTGGGAGTTGATGACCTTGTTGAATGACCAGTGGCGAGGGCCATGGCTTTGCGGGGGCGATTTCAACCAGATAGTGAATTCGGGGGAGAAAAGTGGTGGAAGGCTGATGGGTGATGGCTATATGGAAGATTTCAGGCTTTATTTGGCAGAATGTGGTCTTAAAGACCTGGTTTTCCATGGTTACCCATTTACCTGGGATAATCGTCGGAAAGCTAAGAGGTTCGTCGAAGAGAGATTGGATCTCTTTGTTGCAACCAATGAATGGCAAGTACACTTCCCTGAGGCTCGTATTTTACATCTTGACCGGGATCGTTCAGATCATAGGCCGTTGGTGTGTGACCCAAAGGGAGAGGCAAATATTGAGGTGAAATGGGGATGGCAGTTTCGCTTTGAACCTCACTGGGTTCGGCACGATGGATGCAAGCAGACAGTTGCACAGGTCCGGTCGGAGGAGGGACACAGCGAAACAGTGAATAAATTGGACAAATGTCGTCTAAAGCTGGATCAGTGGAGCAAGGAGACTTTCCCAAATTATCGAACCCAACCTGCGCGAATCAAAAAGGAAATTCGGAAGCTAGATTGGCTGCGCAAGACGAACGTGGTCCTGGACCAAAGACGGACTCTTGAGTCCGAACTAGCTGCTCTCGACCATGATGAGGAGCTCTTTTGGAAGCAACGGTCTCGTGCCAATTGGCTTAAGGGAGGAGATAAGAACACAAACTATTTTCATTGGAAAGCCTCCTCTCGGAAGAAAAGAAATACGTTAAAGAAGTTGCAGGATGAAGCTGGCAAACGGTACGTGGGGCAGGAGGAACTCTTCGCATGCATGGTTACTTTTTGCCTCTATTCACAGCGGGTCCACCACCAGTTTCGACACCGGTGCTAGAGTCCATTACTGAAGTGGTTACGAGGGAGGATAACGAGGCGCTCCTTCGACCGTTCCAGCCCGAAGAAGTCTATCAAACCCTGAAACAAAATGGGGAAGCGAAAAGCTCCGGAGGCGGATGGGCTCTCTGTCCTTTTTTATTGGCAGCATTGGGATATAATCGGAGAGGAAGTCACCCACAAAGTCATCTTCTTCCTTAATGGAGGAGCTTTTCCAACAAGCCTTAATCATACGCTAATTGCACTAATCCCAAAGGTGAAATCCCTGATTACACCGAAGGATTACCGACCAATTAGCCTATGTAATGTTCTATACAAGTTGGCTTCGAAAGTCCTAGCTAATAAACTCAAAACAGTCGTGGATGAGGTAATCTCCCCGAATGAGAGTGCTTTTGTGCTAGGACGCTTTATTACTGACAATGTTATGGCAGCTTTTGAGTGTTTTCATGCGATGAAGACGAAGGAGAAAGGACAGTGGGGAGTCTTCGCTGCGAAGATAGATATGGCCAAGGCCTACGACAAAGTGGAGTGGAGTTTTTTGGAAGGAGTTATGAGAAAGATGGGTTTTCAGTCATGGTGGGTGGAGTTGATTATGCAGTGTGTTAGCACTGTGACATACTAAGTTCTGGTTAATGGGCACCACTCAAAGCATATTATACCTTCGAGGGGTCTCCGCCAGAGCGACCCTTTATCCCCCTATCTCTTCTTACTGTGTGCAGAAGGATTTTCGGCCTTCACAACCAAACAAGCAGCTGACAGAAAGATTCATGGGATCACTATAGCCAAGCATGGGCCGTTGGTCTCCCACTTATTCTTCGCAGATGATAGTATCTTTTTTGGACGGGGTACTCTGGAGGAATGTGGAGCTCTTAAGATGATCCTGGAAGCTTATGAACGTGAATCAGGCAAGCAGATTAACCTCTAGAAGTTCAAAATCTCCTTCAGCGAAAAGGTCCCTCACCGCCGTAAAAAGGATATTAGGGATATACTGGGAATGAAAGTGGTGCAGAAACACGGGAAATACTTAGGCCTACCTACTGAATTTGTCCGTTCAAAGAAGGAGGGTTTTGCTAATTTAGTGGACAGGGTTAGGAATAAATTGAAAGGATGGAAGAAAAAGTATGCTATCGGTGGTTGTGCGGGCTATGCTTATTAAATCAGTGGCCTTGGCATAACTCAACTATGCCATAAATGTGTTTCAAATTCCGGAAGGAACTATTTTGGAGGTTCATCGTATCATCCGTGAATTTTGGTGGGGGCAAAGAAAGGAGGAGAATAAGCTCCCCTGGGTTAGTTTGGATGAATTGTGTCATCCAAAGGAAGAGGGTGGGGTTGGATTTAGAGACTTGTGTGACTTTAACACAACAATGCTAGTGAAGTAATTGTGGAGTATCTTCCAGCAGCCACAATCTCTAATCGCCCGCATGCTCCGGGCAAGATACCATCCGAATATTGACATCATAGAGGCAGAGCTGGGGTACCGCCCAAGCTATATATGGCGATCCTTGATCAGTGTGAATGAGTTTCTTCGACAGGGGACCAGGTGGGTGGTTGGGAATGGTACGTCCATTCGAGTCTGGGGCGATAGGTGGATCCCAACGACCCTGGGTCTCTTTGTGTCGTCTGCCCCGCGAGAACTATCGGTGACCGCCACTGTTCGCGATCTGATCAAGACAGACGAGGAGATGTAGAACTCGGAGATCCTTTAGCGGTGCTTCCCGCTTGAGCTGGCTGCAGCTATTGAGCAAATTCCCATTCGGGGAGCGAGCTGTCAAGATAGACTGATCTGGGCGGATTCCAAGACTAGCCAGTATACTATCAAGGAAGGCTACCAGGTGTGGATCCCCAGCAAGAATACACTATCGCAGGCAAGAACGATCGGTGATGCGTCCAGCTGGAAGAAAAATTGGGGGACTTAATATGCCACCTAAAGTAAAGTATTTTGCTTGGCGCTTCATCCGCAATGCATTACCCACAGGTGTGAACTACTGTCGACAGGATGAGAATGGGAATGATAAATGCCCCTTGTTTGACAGCATCAGGAAAGCGATTGGCCTTGACCATGACGGGAAAATTGCGTTCGTTAGACGAACAGTGAATGATGCGGCACACCCTATGACAAAATGTACTACGAATTAGAATACTCCGATCGTATGGGTAGATAGGCCCCCGGTAATTTTGATTGATCAGCTACATTTGGATGATGTAATGGCAGTTCCTGGTTAATAAAGTATCCCGCAGATTTCGATAAAAAAAAACAAAAGTGTCTCTATATTATATTTTTACATAAATTTACCATTCTAATATCATAAAAAATTTGCGAGCCCGCCGTTAACTATGGCTGGAAATGACCAATTAACCCTTAAAATGAAATTATTTTAATTTCATAATGCAACGGATTAAAAAATCTCTAATCTAATTTTGTACCGTCTCCCTTCAACTGGAGCATCTTCGCCCGCTGAGCTTCCCACTCAGTTTGGCTGTCATCTTCACCTCTGCCATCCACCAACTCCTCCTGCGCCCACCTATTGGCTCGTTGCTACTCCTGCTTAAAAATGGAAAGGCGAATGGAACATGGTAGCTCAGCATCAACCTTCATTGCTAGTTGTCTTTTACTTTCATCTATCTCTCTCTTTCATACTCTCCAACCTTTGTTCAACCATTGACAACAACTTCAATTGCAGACACCTATTTAAAAATAGAAAGGTGGCAGCCAGATCTCAGGCAAAAAGATAACATGTGAAGTCTGCTATAAGTTTGCCAATCAAACTCGATAGGTAGGCACCAAAGGAGTTGGTGGACGACGGAGGTTAAGATCACCACCGGAGGCGTTGGTCGACAACAAAGGTGAAGACTGAAGATGACCGTCGAACTGGGTGGGAAGCTCCACAGGCGAAGATGCTCCTATTTGAACGAAATTAGATTAGGGATTTTTTAATCCGCCTGCACAATAAAATAAATTTATAATTTGAGTTTAAGTAAGGGTAGTGGGATCATTTTACATCCATTTAACGATCATTTAACTTAATTTTTAATGGAAGGGTATTTTCATTACATTGTAATATTAGAATAGTATGTTTTTGCAAGAATATATTATATGGGCACGAGCTTGTTAATTTACAATAGTAGAAGGGCAAAAAATGCTATTAACCTTTACTCAAAAATATATAACTTTGTTTATATAGACTAGCTTTGTTTATCGGGTTATTTTTAAAATTATAATTAATAATTATGATTTAGTTAATTATTTGGATTGATATAATTTATTTGTAGTCATAAAAATTATATTTATATTATAAGATCCATCTAAATTTTGTTTCAATACTCATTTTGTTTAAACACATTTAATGACATGATAGTCTTAGTCTTGTTATAATAATTAATATAATCGACGGAGTTTATCTGATTAGTTTTGTAATCAATATCATCAAATATAGTTTTATCTTACTTGTTAAAAAACTTACACTATAATAAATCTAAACATGATAGGTTGTGTGTTTGAATCATACGAATGCTTATTTAAATATTTATTTATTTTTAACCAATATTTAGTTTAAAAAAAGTTACGCAGAAAAGCAAGGCTAGCGTGACTGCTGAGCAATGAGACAAAATTGACAACAAAACCAAAATAAACATATCACCCCACGAGACAGCTGTGCAGCAGTAACAGTATAGGCAAAGCAGAACAGGGAGGCAGACCAAAAGATGGTCAAAGCCTCCTGAGTTTCTCATTGAGCCAATGAACACATGTCCTCTTGTCGATCTTCCCATGAGCTGTTGTCACGGGGGAAACCAATGTCAGGATTATGCTTATTATGGCCTGGAGGAGTTGAAAGTAGGAAGCACTTACTTGTGCAATGTACTTACATTGTGTATGTTTTATAGCAGAGTTTAAGAAGTCACTCCCCACCTGTTACAGGAGACTCGGAAGGCATTGTGTCATGGTGTGTGCAGAAGTGGAACTCGAAGTCCCCAAGGCAAAGACTCTGTCGTTTTATTTGGAGTGCTGCTCTTAGCCATGTTTGGCGGGAGAGATGTTCTCGGATGTATGGATCAAAGTCAATTAGGAATCCGAAGGAGTTGGTGAAAGTAATGAGTAAAGAGGTCCTCTATCGAGCAAGTGGAGATCCTGCTCTTCAAATTGAGCTAGATAGATGGTTAGATTAAAGTAGTGGATATATTGTATTCCATAGCAAAACGTTTATGTATAGGTTTCAGAGGCACATCAGGATTTCTGATGAAGGTCGGTTCTTAATGCAATCTCTTTTGATTTAGCATAAAAAATTATTATTAAAAATTATTTCTAACATAAATATTAATAAAAACCAAAAATGGGCAAAATGACTCTCGTTGGTTTCTTTAATATTTAATAATTCATTTTATTTTTTAAATTATGTAAATAAAATAAAAGTATATGTTTATAAAAATAAAAAAATGTGAAGGATTTTTTTTTCCAAAACAGTTATGCATTAGAACCAAATCAAAATTTATGTTGTTATGTTATAAAAGTACTTCATTTTTTTAAGTTGAATTTATATAAGTGTTTGCCCTTCCCGTTTTGTAAGTACAAAAACACTTCTAAAAGTCTGGTCAAACATAGGTTATATCTCTTTTATTTTAAGTTGAAATTAAAAAAAATTAAAACATCATATTAATTGTACTCTTTAAAATGATATTAACTTTGAAATATTTTGAAATAATCATAGAAAATTAACTTGACTAATAATGTATTAGGTCGTTGACTAGAAGTCCTTGAGTTGCTTATGTAACGTATTGTTCTTTTTCCACGCGTTCCCAGTCGCCATCATCAGCTTGACAACTTGAAACATTCATTCATTCTTTGAAATCTAATAGCTTGATATACTGCTTGTGGAAACAGAAAGAAAAATAGTTAAAATATCTAAAGAGATGCGAAGCCAACATTTCAACAACACATAACCTAGACGATGCCGTGAGAAACGAGGATATGTAGAAGAAGACTAATGATCACCTCAACGATCAACGTGAAGGCAGGCATGTCTTCCTGTTACCTGGGCTTTTGTCTTTTCTCGTCACATGATGCAAAACCAACCTGGGAAGAAATTAGCAAAACCGCAGCAGCACAGCATTTGGAACCACTAATTATTTGTCTATATGTTATTAAGTGGTATATGATTAATAATTGTATCTTTTTCTATCTACATTTTAAAAATTATGAGCATTTCAATTCAATTTTTTCTAAAAAAGGCGAATTGAAGAGATCCTCCCCGGAGCTAACTAGCAACGACTGGAACTTCATAGTTGGGAGAAGAAAAAGATGAGTATCCGATTTGATGCATGTCGGCCAGTCAAGAGTGTGGACTTTGGAGACTCACTGAGAAGGTGTGTTAGTAAGTGGTATATGATTCATGATTGAACCTCTCATTTCTAACAACTCAAGTTATGGGGACTAACAACTCAAAAGCTAGGTTTAATACATCGAATTTCGAATTTTAATTGATAGCATTAGTCTAATATGATATGACACAGGATCACAACTAATCAATGGATTACCCTAAGTCATAGACCTTCAATTTTGAATCTTAACCCTAAGCCTGAAATTGTAACCTTAAATCCCTAAGCGAGTTCCCAACCTGTAACTAGTAATTTTACTTAGTTTAGTTAGTAGAGTATTTTAGTTAACCAATCCTTAATGTGATTTACTAGATAATGAACTGAAGATGAGTAATAGTACATCTAGAGACACGATGATTCGATATTTATTACTTGCACCACTATACTACAGTCCCTTTTCATTGGTTACACTTGGCCATTGTTAGGAGTTGTGTTTTAGCGAGTCAAGTTTTGGGCGCCGTTGTCGAGGACTTTCTAGATTATTAGGAAAGGCAGAAGTTTGTTAATTTAACTTTTCTTTCTTTATTTTTCTTTTCCACCCTTGATTTTTTACTTGGGTGTTTAGTTTTTGTTGGTGCAAATATGAAACATGGATCCTCATGGCTTCTCCAACCATTGGAGGTATCCACCACCACCCGAGTGGTATTACCCTGAGACTTCCTGGAGCAATCAAGGGGGAGAAGACTATGGATTCAGGTTCCAGTACCAACCCCCTACTATGGAGAACAACTAGACCCTTGGGAACCTCAAAAACAATCTCTTTATCAAGAAGAATTCCTCCCACGACCAGAGGGGTCATCAGAGCTAGAGTTAGCCATGGTGGCCTTCACAAGCCATTCTGCAGAGCCATGCTACACTCCACGGCCAGATCCAAACTATGAATTGAGACTTCTCGTGGGGCAATTTGTTCGGGACACCGAGAGATCCTTCCCAAAGATGGACCTTATAATCAAATCAATTGCTCCTCCTGTTGTTTCTTGTGACCCTTCCTTTCTCAGTGAATCGGAGGAGATTGTTTCGCACTCAGCAAAGCAAAATAGAGCGGGTTGAGCAAGTTTGTGCACAACTTCCTCAAGATCACTATTCTGCTACCATAGAAGAAGATGAGGAGGATGAAGGAGGCTACAAGGACATTGTGGAGCAGACAGAAGTTGTCACAGAGATCTCCCATGATGATCATGATCAGGAATGTCATGTTGCAGCCGACTAAACCTTCCCACATCCCACACCGAGCTTCGAAGAGGCGGGCATGAGTGAGGAGATGCAAGATGATCTCATTGAAGAAATTGCTTGGCAACTTGCTTTCCAATCCGTGTTG